CGACCGTGAACAGGAGGAGTTGGATCAGTTTCGTTCGATGTACGACCGAGTGTCCTCCAGCCATCCTTCTATTATTCGTGACGCTACTCATGTACTTCATGACATGTTCCACACGTCTACCTTAGATTATGAGGAACCCGAAGGAGTTGACCGTCCTCGAGGTCGACAACGACGGAACAGGAGTGCGTTTGAGTATATCCGTGGTCTTGGTCGTGGTCGGACATCATCATCTAGTCGTAGTCAATCTTCATCGTCTGTGAATATGCCCCTGAGAACTGGTACGTTTTGGTTGTTTACATTGCACATAGTTTTAAAGTGTTACTCCTGCCTTCTTAACTGTCTATAATTATATGGTGAATAGGAAGAAACGATGTTGATTAGTTTCCGTACAAGGAAAGGATACCTGCGATCATCATGCCGTACTTGGAAGGGTGGAATGATGTAGTCGGAGATGGTAACTGCGGATTCCGGGTCGTGGCTGATGTTTTTCAAATGGGCGAAGAGAACTACGGTTTGGTGCGTCAGTTGATGTACAACGAAATTGCCTCTAACCGAAATGTTTATCGTCATGTGTACCAGGATGACTTGGATGGCGCTCTGCGGCGTATCCAGTGGGGAGGTGGACCTTGCGGCCAAAATCATTATTTTGACGCGCCCCTAGATCTGTTTGCCGTTGCAAACATTTACAAATGCGCAGTCATGCATTTCGGCCTGGGAGTGCATAGTCAAGCTTATTATCCTTGTACTACGGTTCTCCCTTGGCGGTCGCGTGAGACTGTCACCACACTGGTCAGAGAGCTAGCTATTGCGTTTCTTGGGTCGTCATACAGACATTTCATCCGACTAGACATGTCATCCGATTTTCCAGTGCCACCGATTATACCTCGGTGGTACAACATTCGCACAGCGAGCGTAGAGGGTTGGGATGCGCTATATCATGACCGGATCCACGAATGGAACACCCTAGCTCCGTTTAAGTTTTTCATGTTTACATTCTTCCTATGTAATCTTATTTGTACGTTGCTCTTTTAATGAGAACATTAATCTTTTATATTGTATTGCTTACTGCATTCTATATGTTGCATGGGTAAGTTGCGCGGATCCACGAACGGTTATATCAAAATTTAAAAACAGCAATGATAATATGTTTAAGTTGGAAGCTAAAAGAACAATCTAAAATGTTACAAACTTACAACATAATGTCCAATTTAATAAATTAAAACGATAATATTTAAAGTGCTCTATAAATAAAATGACAAAACCATCAGTAATCCCTCCTCGATGACGACTCCCACTGCGCAAGGGTCTGTTCCAGACTATCAACAACAGCTCTCACTGTTGCACTCATGCTGTCCTTCTCAAGAGAGAGTTTCTGTACGTCCTGCATTATCTTTCCCATCCACTGCATACAACAAAAAACAAAAGATGAAATACAATAACAACATATAAAACTTAATTAAAAGACAACGATAAATATAATATGAGACATACCGCTTCCATGGCAGTAGGCGGTGGCACATAATCATCATCGCTGTGGTCGAGATCTGCGATCAACCTCGGGTGCGAATATCGGTTGAACCATTCCATGTAGTAATGGTCACACATGGGAGGAACCCAGAGGGCGGCCGCTGCAACTCCGCAGTCCATAAGCGGGCCACCATCGGAAACTGGTCCCACGTCCCGGTCATGATATCCGGCCATTGCACGACGTAGTCCCTCGACGATGCAGGTCGGACCGCCTTCATCGGGCATGCCGGGGAGGAGGGACAACTTGGACAAATCCAAGCTGGCGAAGACAACGCTGGGGCATGTACGCCTCGACGATCTCACGATACTGAATGAGTCCCGTGTACAGGGTCCTGGGTACCCTAACACTAGGGTTCGGGCCGAAAGGAATCCAGTTCACCTGCACATAGTTTTAAAATTTAATAACATGAATATAATATGTGCAAATAATAAAATGTAGAAACAATTTATAAACGTTACCTCTAAGGGGGACAGCCTGTCCAGCAATAACCGTATCGATCGGAGGCGGTCAACGGACTTCTTCTCCGAGCGCGGACTCCACGCACAAGCACGCGGCATCCCCTCATCAATAGGAACCGGGTCACGATGTGGTCGCAATGTAGGAAAGTACTCGTATATCCAGGTCTGCAATAGAGTCAGACACCTAGTGATACCTGCCGCGTCAGCCCGACTCGCAAATCCTAGTTGGCGATACAAATACGCCAACGTAGCCGATCCCCAGGAAAACTGGCCTACACTGTCGGGGTCACACGCCTCTACTATGTCGCGTGGCTTGAGCTTGTTTCCGCCGCTCTTATCCGGAACCAAGGTACATCCGAGGAGTAGAAAAACATAAGCACTCAGCTGTGCGTCGTGCGTCCTACGTGCACTGGGGTACAAACACCGCTGCAACACGGATGCGATCTTCACACCGCCGTGTTCCCAAACACCAAGCGCCTCGGTGTACAGTGCAGCCCTGTCCACCGCCAACAACTCCGCCAGCAAATCTGCCTGATCCGCATCAGCCACAGCACAAAGTCGTTTACCTTCAACACGAATCCCCAGAATGGCCTCGACGTCATGTAACATGATCGTCATCTCACCGAACGGAAGGTGGAAAGAGTTTGTATCCGGCTGCCATCGCTCAATGAAAGCCGTGATCAGCGTACTGTCAATCTTATCCTGCATGGTGGCAGGAACGTGATTCACCCCAGTGCCCTCCAGTCGCTCGAACATCTCGCTCTCCGCCGGCCAAGCCTAAGCCCATGTACGCAAAAAGCTACAAGTCTTTTCCCGGGTATGACATTTCAACAACCCCGTAACTGAAGGCCTCTCCCGGTCCTCCCAAATACGGGCAGCTATGTGTCCTAGAAAGCTAAGAATCACACTCCCGTCAACAGGCCCACCGGGCACCTCACTCCTAACAACCCAAGAATCATTAACGACCCTCGACCGTTTCCTGCTTGCCCCAGATACAGTGGACGCAGATGATGTGCCAGATCTACTAACAAACCTACCACCCCTACCCTTACGCACCTCCACCATATGTGTCTCGTACATGTCATCAACCCTCTGACTGAATGGACCGTAATCATCATACGGTCCACTGCCATCGTCCACATCCTCATCCTCATCCGCGCCCTCCTCCTGCTCCTCCTCTTGGTCACCCTCCTCAGCATCATCATCGTCATCGTCATCCTCATCCCGACGGTGGATCCGTTCTCTACGAGCCGAGGCCGAAATACCACGGGATCTAACATGTCTATGCCCCGACCTCTCCACTGAATAGCTTCTACTAAGAAACTCTACATTCTTCCCCGCACCATGACGACGCAGTGAATTCTACAAAAAATTTAAAAATATATAAACATACAAAAAATTATACGAAAAATAGCTACCACTACCCAAATCAAATAAACTAAAAACATACTAACAAATTAACATAATAAAGAAATTAACAAAACACTTAAATAAAAATAATAGAATAAAAAATACACTAAGAAAGGAAATAAAACCAACACATAAGATTATATATAAACATAAATAATTCATTCCCAATTAAAATAAATTAACTAACCAAAAACAATATCAATAATAAAAATTAAAATAAATTAACTAACCAAAAACAATATCAAATGAACAAAAAAATGTACTAACAAATTGAAATTGAGAATAAAAATAAAAATGTACAAATAAAACAAACAAATAATTGTAAACAAAATATAAACATAGAAAAAATATAAACATAGAAAAAATAGTTATATTTTTAAAATGTACAAATAAAACAAACAAATAATTGTAAACAAAATATAAACATAGAAAAAATACAACAAAATTGATAAAATTTATAAAAATAAACAACAAAATATAAAAACAATTGAAAAAGATATTACAGAACAAAAAAAAAAAAAAAAAAAACCAAAATTTTTATACAAATATATATAAAAAAAAGGGGGGGGGGGCGCCTTGGCTGGACCCCCAGCCGGCGGTGGTGGCGCCAGCTGCAGACGCCGCAACCAGTGGGCTGGCGCCTGGGCTGGACGCCATAGCCACGGCTGCGGCGCTTTGAATAAACGCCACAACCGTGGCTATGGCGTCCAGCCCAGGCGCCAGCCTACTGGTTGCGGCGTCTGCAGCTTGCGCCACCACCGCTGGCTGGGCGTCCGGCCGAGGCGCCCCTCCTCCGTCACGGCGGTTTTCCTTTTTTTTTTTAACAAATTGTACCTTGCCTCCTTGAGACCACCTTCCCTCCGTCGCCGCCGCCAATTCCTTGCCTTGCCGCCTCGACATTGCCGTTGTTTGAATATTTTTTTTATTTTGAGATGTTGAAAGAAGATGAGCGATGAGATTATGAGTGATGAGTGATGAGAGTGTGAGTGTTTTTTTTTTGTTTAGGTCAAGGGCAATATTGTCAAATCAAGTGGATTTTGTGGGCTTTATGTGGAGATTTGCGGGCGATGTTTAACAAATCCCCTTAGATATCCATCCCCACCAAAGACCAGCCTAATCTCCACCCAAGATCCACCTAATATCCGTATCTCAAATACACAATCTTACATAATTAATACGAATTATAAAATAAAACATTCTATACACATTTTTGTGTTATAATATAAGTGTCGTACAAAGTATTATAATTAATATTGTATTTCATGTAATTATTTTATAAATAGAATAAAAGTATGTAATTTTGCTTTAAAAGATATATAGATGTGGGTATGAGGTGAAGATGGGGCGGGTACAAAGTGGGGCGGGCGGGGATGGGGCAGGTACAACTTAAAATTCACCCCCGCCCCATCACCCATGGCGGGTATGGTTTTTATCCCCATCCCCGCCCCACTACCCGCCAAACTGAGACCCATCTTCTCCCCAATGGGGCGGGTCTCCTACTTGACCCGCCCCACTGACATCCCTAGGTAAAAGATTAGATTATTCTGGAATAATCTTAAGGTTAATTTATTTTGAGAAAATGGAATAAAGGTTGGTTTATTAAAAGTAATTTTTCCTTAAAAAAAACAGTCTTCCTGTCAGTTCTCCATTGAAGCGCACTCAACGTTTTTATCGAGAAAACTTGTATCCTCCATTGAAGCAGCTTCTGAGGCAAGTTGCTGTATCTCTTTATGATCCTCATATCAATTTCACAATCTTGGATTTTATTTAATTCAATTTAATTGTCAGTGCCCTAAGTTTAGGGTTCGAAAATCTCAACTATTGGTTTTAATTACTAAGATTATGAAAGAGCGATTGCGTTGCTAGAAAAGAAAATTGTTGATAATTGAATCAAATATCCCCATAATCATGTGATTTTTCAAGATAATTGGATCAAATTTGGTTGCTAGTGTATTGCACAACCCTGTTTAACAAATTTTTGTTTTCAATTTCTTATGTTGATCAGAATCTGTGAATCAACCATGACTTGTGAACCTAATCAAGCAAACAAGTTTCGGCCGAATCAAGCAAAGAAACCTAAGAATCGAGTAATGATTCGTTGGAAGACTAGAACGTTCAAGTGTCTCATAATTGGTAATCCTGGAACTGGTAAGAATCCCAAATCCCAATTTCCTTGCTTTTCATTTTTGTTAAAATTGTCTTTTGATGATTTTTTTTTTTTTATTTTATTTTGCAGGAAAAACAAGTTTTATGAAGAGGCTTCTTTGTCAGGGCTTCAATGAAGATTATGAAGGTGAGTATTTATCTAATATGGGATTAGAATGTAAAGTTAACTTCTTGGAGCTTTTCTGTTTTAGCTACTTGGATTATCTATCTGTGTTTATGGTGTTATTGCTCAACTAAGAACTATCATACTCCTTTCTCTTTCCTGTGTAATGCCATTGTCTGTGATGCATTTGATTAGGATTTGATGGAACGCAATTGTCTCAAACCTGTTAGGATACTTTATAATTAGACTATTTAATACTCCGACTGAGTACCAAAACGACAAACCAAATATTCAGTCTTACTCCGACTTAGCTTAAACCCTCTAGATTCCAACCAATGGAGGCAAAGGTTGGAATCTAGAGACTTTAAGCTAAGTCGGAGTAAGACTTAACATTTGGTTTGTCGTTTTGGTACTCAGAGGGGGACAAACAATGAAGTGGTGAGTTTGGATGGAAAGGATTTGACTATGAGTGAATGTTTTTGTAGCCTCAAGCTACTACCTTGTAAAATCATCCAGTTTAATGAAAAGTAATCCTTCTCTTCATTATTATTGAGTAAAATAGTTAATCCATTACAATGTATGGTTTTGTTAATGAATTGTGTTTCCTATTTAGCGACAACCGAACCTGCTGTTCAAACATTCCAGTTCAGAACATCTCGTCTTCCAGAACGCAAAAGAATTAGGCTTCAATGCTACGAGTATCCGATGACGGAGGGATTCAATGACAAATTTTTGTAAGTTTTAATTATTTGGACTGATTAGCTTTCCTTGTCCTTGCAATGTTTATTGTTTTCTAATAAACCTCAAATTTGGTTGATGCAGCAAAGAGAGGGACTGTATTAATATGGATTGTGCTATCATCATGTGTGATATTACTGACGAATCAAGTATGAAGCCTGTTGATGACTGGATTGAATTATTTAAAAGGTGTGTATACTCATATGTTATGAAATCAACACATTCCCTATTGTTGATTTTTTTTTTTCTTCTGGACTTTTAAGTTTTATTATTTTCTATTGTTTCCTGGTAATTTTGGATTATTTGTGTTAAAATTTGAATGCAGATATGGGAAAGAAATCCCAACTATTGTTTGTGGAAATAAAGCTGATTTGATACCAATCGGGGTAGTAAAGCCAATCGGCTACAATTCTAAGAGTAACAATGTGGTGTGGACTCCTTGTTCAGTTAAGAGCTTGAAAGGTCTTTGGGTGCCTTTCACTTATATTGCCAGGATGCTGACCACTGGGTAATTTATTTATATTTTTGGTGAAAGTTTTTCATAACTATTTCTTTTTTCGTTTTTATACATCTAACTTGTATCCTTTTGTTGTTTTAGACCTCATGACCTTCCTTTCTCTTTCTTCAATGAGATGGCTAGGAGAGGCCTTCCCCTACATAAATGAAACCTTATTGCAGTATATTCAAGAGTAAGCATTCTGATGGACTAGAGATGCCTTTAGATTTTGATCAAAACTTCATTGTGCCTCAGGGGCTTGTAAGATACAAGTGTTATAATTACTTGTAGGAGGAACATTGGGTGTTTTTATCTCATTATAAATATGTGATAAATCGTTTGTATAATAAGGGTTTAATTATGGTAATCTAGCCATCTAATGAACTTGTATTTCAAAAATTTATCGGATCATTCTCGAACACTTAGCATTGTAGATGTCAATTGTCACACCTTATGCCCATATATTGTGTATCTAAATGGCAGCAATCCTACATTATTTCTACTACTACAGTGTACCCGTACAAATTGTACGGGATATATATTATAAAGAAAAGTATCAAAGAATATTATAAAAAAAGAATTATATTTCAAATAAAAGTTGATTTTTGATATAGTATATTTATTTTTTTTGTTTCGATGATTATTAATTTAATAATAAGGTAGTTATTGAAATATTTGTATTTTTTTTTTAAAAAAAAAAAACCTAACAATGTTGGAAGATTTTTAAAGTGAAAAGTTAAACATTGCCCTCGAATCTCCAACTAATGCCCGCAAAACAACCTAAAATTACGTACTTATCCTTGTTGTAAAATTAATTAATATAACCTCATCATAAAGTTGGTTTCCGAAAATCCTAGTCAAGTACACGGTAAAACTAATGAAGAAAAATCTCACTTAAAGGTGATTTTCAATTAACATAACACCTCAGCTAATAATCAGGAAATTGAATTGCTCAACAACAAAACCAACATTATCTTCCCATACTCAATAAGCCCAAGGAAAAAAAATTGCAACGAGAAGATTTTTAGTAATAGGAGGTCGAACTCGCCTGCAGAAATCAAATACAAACCATCATATCAGATACTTTTAAGGTCCAAAGATATCAAGTTTATGGGGAATAATTGTGTCCTCTGATATATGTTAATTAGTTTATCTGAAATGATCCAATTTTTTCGATAGATCTAGGTAGAAACACCTAACTTTTTTGAATCACCACCTAGGTGTTCGAAAAAAAAAATGAACCTTGCATTGTCTCCGATGATGGCCTTACCTTTGTCCCTTGGCATTTTCGCGCAAAAATTATGTAGATCTAGTAGAAGGAGTTGTTGTGGCTGGTAAATGGAGGTGGTGGTGGTGGTATTTGTGGTGGTTTAGAGAGACAAGTTGTTAAGAGAGAAAAGAGGAAATGAGTGTGGGTTAATATGATAGTAAATACTTTTTGTTTATATGAGGGGTAAATGTGTAAAACATGTTTTATTTTGCGAGCGTTAACTAGAGATCGAGGGCGGTACGTATTTTAACAACCTCTTTTTAAATGATAATATTAGTGGATTATGGTTGATTCAGTAAATGTATGGTGGTGGACCTGGTGGGTGGTGAAAGATGTTGCATCTAAAAGCTGGAGAGAGGATAAAAGTTGTCTTCATGCGAGGATAAATTTGAATCAACTCGCACTAATTGATGACCATTTAAGATGATGCAAAAATGTTTGGCTTATGCACTTGCATAAGAATTTGGACATGACCTATGAAATGCAATAAAAGATCAATGACGATAGTAACTTTTAGCTACTTCACAGGAATGTGTCCGGTTATTTTATCAATTAGAAGGTAGAACGCTGAACTTAATTATTTGATCTAAACACAATTAAGTTGTAAATTCAACTTACTAACATTAGCAGAAAATTTCTGAACTGATGAGACCTGAAAATTATTTATTCAAGGTAAGAGAATAAGTCCTTACTCCTTAGTATCATTCTCACTGTGTAGGAAGATTTGTGGGTAGATTGTAGTGCTTCATGTGAACCTCCTTTACGTAGGCATCTCTGTATTCATATTGTAAAGACGTATGTTCATGTGACAAGTTTTTCCCTTCTTGGGGTGTTTGTATTTGGAGTTTATTTCGGCACTTTGAGTTACTTATGAACTCTATCCTGGTTTCTCTCTCATGAGCTCAGTTGCACAATTCAAGATCGTCCATTGTTCTGGAGACTGGGAGGTTATTAGGTTCTTCAATAGTTAAATTAGGTACCCTTTTCTATTGTTGCCAGTTGCAACCTTTAAACGTACAATATGGAGCTTGATTTGGATGACTGTATACCTGGTCAATTTGACATTCTGGTTTCGTCATTACTATTTTAGAACATATATTGCTAACTAGAAACATTTTACTGATGTAGGGTGGTCGTGATACTGTATGGCCTCATGATCCCCGCTCTGGATGGAGTTACTGTGTTACAATTCCTTCTTGGGTTGTGCTTCCAAAATCAAGATCAAGCTCTTCAGATCCTGTAATGGTACATAAATTGAATGTCTCTCCAAAATCAAGAAGAAGCAATATGGAAAAGAATTATCAGCAAAAACCCACAGCACATGAGCATAAGCATATATATCACAATCTGAAAATGGAATAATGTATTTTGTGTAGCCCTACATCAGGTCAACAATAATGGTTTTTTGCAGCTGGAAGCACTATGAACAGCTAGGTAGGTAAGGCAGTGTAAGTACCACAGCACAATAAGTACTCGCTCCATCTTCATCCTTCCCTCCCTTGACCTCTCCATATTCCAGGTCTCCAATCTCTTAGAAATACTCTAATTTGCACTCCTATTATGTATGCCCCCAATCTCATCTTCAAATTTAGTTTTATTCTTGTAATCTTCTACCCACTTCTTCATAGTTCTATACCCCAACTCCTATCACCATCTCCAAACACCAATCTGTTCCTATACTAGATAGATCTTCACAATACTCCACATAACCGCCACCTCTCTTCATCAAGCAGTCAAACCACAGGAGAATATCCAAATGGTTCAGAGCAGGGTTTCCCATGGAAAATGCTATTCCTCAACACGGTACTCTATAGCAGGGTTCGGAGCAGCAGGCATAAGGCCATGTGTCTCTTCTTTCGGAGTTGATCAATTTGATGAAACAAGTAGAAACTCAAGTTCTTCTACGTACTCTTCATGTATGTCACCTTTGGGGATATCATAGCGTTTACTACAGTTGTCTATATACAAATGCAGTTTGGATGGGGATACGCATTTGGTTCGTTAGCCTTGGGTATGAGCATCTCTGCTCTTTATCAGCACTCCTACTTACAGGAATAGGTTGCGTGGGGGCATCCCTTAGCGGACACATATCGCATACGTTCTTGTTGCAGCTTTCAGGAAAAGAAATGCTTTGATCTTTCTCTAGCAGTGAGATGGTTGGCTTGTATGAGTTTCCAGGAAAAAGATATGCAAAAAATGAACACAATGATGCCTTCAGATAAACAAAGCAGTCAGTCTCACAAAGTAATTGATATAACACCCATACTACTAGGCTGCTAGATGTCACCGATGTTTGGACAAAGCAGCCCTGAAGTTGCCAGAAGATGGCCAAGATCCAACCCCTTGGAAGCTTTCCACAGTTACACAAGTTGAGGAAGTCAAAATCCTAGTAAAACTCTTGCCTATACCAACTAGCACCGATATGATGAGTCTCTTGACTCTGTCAGTTCAACAAGCATACTCACATAGGCCGTCTCAAAGTAACAGTGACCTGCATGCCTGTGTTTTTTTCTTCCCTTAAGCATCTTCCTTGTGCTCTCCATTTATTACTCCATCAAGGCGCATCACGGAACATCCTCACGGAGCCTCTCAGCTTCAAAGGGTAGTCATTGGCATGGGAATCTCCATCCGCTCAGTCGCATGGGCTGGGGTGTTTGAGAGGCTCAGGAAAATACAAATACATAGAAGTCCATGCAAGACAATAGCAGAAAGCAAGACTGCACAACTAAATCCTATATCTTAGAATGAATATATGTTGTGTTTAATTAGGTTGAATTGGGAGTAATAAAGATTTAAATTATTTTAGCCCAGTAATTAATTTTATTATACTGCATTATTGCAGCCTTCGTACAAAACATCAAACATGTTCATCCCTACTCCATATATAGTTACACCAAATAAAAAGAAATATACAAAGGAAGAATGTATCCATATATTACCTGGTTATGTCGACAGATATCCCAAGGCTCCTATCTGAAATAGTTTCTAAATTTTGCATTTGATAGTAGCAACAGCCAACATGAAGCAAATAGCCGACCTAAGTACTTGTGATTAGGTGATACACTAGTTTATCCCTCCAAAATACCCACATGACACTTCCTACCCTTCCAAATAGCCGGCTCTACATAGTACTTATCTTCTTAGGCAGTCATCTGTACAATTCTTAACACAATACTGCTTGGGTTGGCTGAACTATTCATGTGCCCCATCCCCATGACGCCTTTTTAGGACAGCAAAACCTGATCATTGCCTCTTTGCCACTGTTTATGGCTAAACTCATCTTCTTAGGCAGTCTCTTATGAATGATCATTGCCTCTTTGCCATTGTTTCAATGAACTTGATGTAGGTAATAGTTTTCTCCTTTTGTTAGTTATCAAGTTAAAAAATGACTCTGTCCTAATTAATTGCAATACTATCCAATTTTTTATTTGTCCAAAACAACATGAATTTCATGGTTTTGCTTACTTCAATCATGTTGATATGTACTCTCCTTCTCTAATCCTGAGCCACTCCTAATCCTGACAAAAGCAAAGTAAAATACCCATTACAAGGTTTTTTTTTATTCTACAGCTCACTACTCATCTCAATCATACCGAAGACCTACCTTGCTTGAGATTTTGGAATAATAATTCATCCAGAGCTAGTGTGCAGCTACCATAAGCTCACAAACCATGAGAAGGGAGCTAAACAGGCTCTCGACTAGCTTTCACATAGAGTGACCCAGGTCCATATTGTGTCTGCTATGCATCTACCAGTCATCCATAGAAATACAGTTGTACATATTTGATCATTTTCGCTCCAACCCTCCACTTGTATTCGGGTTAGACTTGTATATATAATGTTAGTTGAGACGAACACTACAAGAGTGGGGGGTGAATTGTATGTGAGTTCCTTGTGACTACTTTTGCAGAATTATAAAACAATGCATATAGGAACTTGCAAAGACACACAGATTTTATGAGGAAACCTTCTAGGGCCCAATTGGAAGTAAAACCTCGACCCTATCTTAGGGATTTCAACCACAAAACAACTTCAATATAATAGGGCAAACGCCAAGTTACAACCTACTATAATCAAACCTTTACTCACAAGTTCCAAAACGAACTTGTTACACAGTAGGACCCTATCCTACCCAATCTAAGTCCCACACTTAGATTCACTAGTACTCCCAAAGTACTAAAACGCTGAGCTTCACACTAGAAGCTTACACAAACTGTATGTAAATATAAAACAC